TAGATTCCCCCTGAAGAAAATGGTAATAATGATAATAACGATGGTAAGAGAGATAATCCCAATCTAGAAAAAGAAAAGACGCTTTCTAGGCAATGTTCATGAAATCTCCATCAGGATCCTTCTTTTTGGAGGGACATGAGGGGCATGCATAGCTAGCAGCTGGCAAGCAACTCCTCTCACCTGGAATCCTTTACAGATGGGCTGCGGCTGGTGGCTTTGTGGGAAGATGGGCTGTGGCGGCTTCCCCCGGGCTGGTGGTTGGATTTCTGCGTCTCCCTGGAAGTCACAGCCCGCCGGGATGACCTCCTCTGGCCACTGCTGCCTTCCTTCTTGGCCTGTCTGTGAGCTCGGCCTTCTCTGCGCTGGGAGTGCCTCCGCGATGACATCCCTTTCGTGGATACCTTTGGACTGGCCATGGTCACCCTCTGACTTCCGTCCCGCTCACTCATGTCGCCCTCGCTCTGCAAGCTTGACACCAGGGGATACTCGGGCCTGAGCGGGGTGACGGTTCCTAGGCCCGCCACACTCCCAGCTCCAGCACAGGCCACACTCACGTGGCCCGAGGGCGACAGGCTGCCAGTGCCTACCGAAGCCATGCTCACCGAGTCTGGTGACATGCTGGCAGCGCCAGCCAGCATTAGACTAACACTGCTGGCAGACACGGTCTCTGTTACCTGCCCAGTTGCAGTCCCAGCTGGGGCTACACTTACGCCAGGCCCCTGGCTGCCTGCTGTGGCTGTCCCCATCCCCGGGGGGGCCCCAGCAATGGCCTTACTGGCAGGACCCCTGCTGGCAGCAGCTGCTACTACAATGCTTGGGACAGATGGTGTACTGGGAGGGGACACACTGGGCGCCCCTTGGATGGTATAGTGATGGGGCAGCAGGTCCTTCTCTATGCCTCCTGGGCTAGGGAAGCCCTCCCCGGCTGCAGCCGCCATGATTATTTCCGGCTTTACTGCCATCTTGTCCTGGCCAGGAATGTCAGACAACACATGAAGACTCTTGATACTTACTTTATCCTGCTCCCCTTCGCTGTGCGGAATAGGCTCCTGGGACTGGGGCCCATAGTGCGAGGGGCAGAAGAGGAAAGATCATAAAAGGCGGGCCCGGGGCAAGGTCAG